TGGCCACACTGCCACGAGTGCCGTTGGGTCACAGGACAAATGTGAATTTCATGAAAGGCCAGGCCTGTTGCCATATCATATTCTTTGGTGGGATTGTCGATGAAGCAAACGTATGTTCGCTATAACAATCGACTACGATCTTTATTTTTCGCATTTCAGTATTGTTTCGAGACTACATCTCATATTACTGATTTACTGGTAGTCTCGAAACAATACTTAAAATGCGAAAAATAAAGTAACGTAGTCTATTGTTATAGCAAATATACGTTTGCTTCATCGACAATCCCACTAAAGAATATGATATGACAAAAGGCCTGGTTTTCCTTGAAATTCACATTTGCCCTCTGACCCAAGGGCTCTCGTGGCAATGTCGCCGAGTGGTTAATATGTCAAGCTCCCATTTTGCATTATCAAGGTTCGACTTCCGCTGGGGGAGTTGATAAGACCGATGCGAGGTCAAAACTGAAGTTCACTATAGCTGAGATGAAAATAACTTTTAGGAAAACAAGGCTATGTGAAATTCAATGGAAACGTCAGCTCTACTCCTATCATTGTGGTAAAATTTGTCTACCAGTCCTTCATCACCTTAAATGAAATTGGGTGAATATATCTCATATTACTGATTTACTGGTAGTCTCGAAACAATAATTAATTGCGAAAAATAAGTTAAAGATGTCAGTCTTTTTTCTATGATTTTTACAACTGCAGAATCGATTTAGGATTAGATTTCAGCTAGACGAACATTTAGCCCAACCTTTTTTCGTTTACAGGGCCGAGTTACAATACACGATGCTTAGTTTAAATGAGGGACTCAGGATCCTGTGTCAGATGCTAAAGATGTAAAAGTTTTTACATAACATTAACTGTTGGTGTTTTGTTTAGAAGAACTATTTCGTCCTGATTGAAACCAAACTTTAAGATAACATTGCATTAAACATTTTTTTTCTACATAATACGATGCTTTACAAACCTGTGAAATCGACAACTTATCCAGGAGTAGATGAAAGCTTCTTTGGTCGTTAACTCGACAGTCTCAGTAACCAGATTCCACAAAGCATGCAATAGGATGTAGCTGAGTTATCATTTTTAGTGAAAATCAAGTTCGAGGTTAAATTCATAGAAATCGTTGCCTTATAAATAAAATACATAATCGCTAAATGGTGGCTAGTTATTTTACTGTCATTGTTCTTCTAGATACGAAGAGAAACTTGGTTTTGATGAATCTTCTGGTGAGATTGACCAGCACCTTCATCCGAAATGAAGGTCCCCCTAACAATGGTTCTTCTGTCAACACAAACTATATGTTAGCCTCATGATTTTATTTCCTCTTTATGAAGAATTTCATTGGTAATTTTTACCTATTTTATTTCTATTATGATTCTCCTCCCATGCCTCAAACGCCAAATTCCCCAGAGCTTGCTAGCTCTATTTTTGCTCTCTCTCTCTCTCTCTTGGATGTTGTTACACACTGGAGTTCCTGGTAAGGTGTGGAAATTCACTTTTATATTAACCTACAGACAGTAGCATCAGCTGGAATGCCTTTATTAACATTAGTAACTGCACTGTAAAAGCACCAAACTAACTATTTTTAACTTTAAGCACGACAAGTTGAGACCCATCTTCCTCTGCTCACTTTTAAAATGAAATCTGTTGTTCTCAGATGGATAATCGAGATGTAACCGGTGAATCGACCTCTCATGGCCAATCTAGTAGAGCCCAAGCCATTTCTGGTACATCCGAACGGCGTGATCCCAGTTTGACTGAGTGCGTCAGTCGCACCAACTATGGCACATGTCGCCCTATGGCGACTGGTCACCCAGCTTCTGCCGGCGCTGACTTCTCTGTGGACGTTTCCAATGAAGGCGGTGGCACCGGCCTGACGGATAAGCTGCTTCATGTCTCCACGCCCCTTCTAGTCTCCGCCCTTTGCCAGCTCGTGGTAAACCTACTGATAAAGATTCCCCCGTTTATCGTCGGTCAACTTGAGGCCTGTCAGCTGAACCCGATGTTGATGAGCATCGTAGATCCAAGTAGGTTTATTTTTCTATTATGCATTTTTATTATCTTTTATTAAATTACAATGCCCCCCCAATGCAGGCAGCTTTGCATTAAGACGTATCTTCTACGGATGCTTGGCAATTTATCAATTACTCGTTACTGAAGGGAATTTCCTGAATATATATATATATATATATATATAT